AATTCAGTTTATTTATATAACGCCAATTGACAACACATCATCTCAAAGCACTTTACAATTCAACTAGATCATACAGTGAAATTGATTCAGTTTTCTATCTAAGGAAAACCAGTTGATTGCATCGACTCATTGACTCGACAGCAATCCCTCACACCAAACATGCTTGTAGCGACGGTGGAGAGGAAAAACTCCCTTTTAACAGGAAAAAACGTCCAGCAGAGCCATTGCTGGATACAATTTACATGAAGTATGAAAGCAAATCAATACTTTTATCTGTGTTGCAATGCTGTCAAAACCAAACCACTTTATTTCTAAATCAAAGTGCTGCACAGAGACAAAATATAAGGCAAGAAATACAATTTAACTATAGAATATGAGTTAATAAAGGGGATCTGTTCATACAAATGGTAAAAGACTAAGACACAGATGCCAACTCTGAGTTCAAAGCCACAGAGGAAAAAGGGTTTTTTAAATAAAATTTTAAAACATGATGAGATGGAGACGGCCTGACCTCCAGCTGCAGCTTATTCCACTTTGTTGGAGCCAAAACTGAAAAGGCTCTGAATACTGCACTTACTTTTAATGGTACATAAATAACATCAACACTAAACGCTGAATTTTAAACCCCCACACTGGCTTCTGACCTGTTTTCACATTGATTTAAAAGTGTTGAAACGGCTAATGCCATCGTACTTTCTCAACACTGCAACTGAGAAGGCCCCCCTTGTAAATGTTTCTCTGGATCTGAGCTGCTTGACAAAGTCTTACTGCAGCTGCCCTGAAATTATAGAAGAGCTTTACTCAAAATGTAAGCACTCCTCCGTGAATTGCAGTTTTTTAGTGTTCAACCATGTTTTATATGGTGATTTAGATTTTGTTATCCAGAAAATTAAAATCTTAAATGTTTAGAAGAAGAAGCTGAGCTTATCCTATTATTTTTATTTAAAGATGTTTCTCCTTCCCTTTAAAAGACTCCTTTAGTTTTTTTTTTTTGGTCCTCTTCTTTTAGGTTTGAGTAATTTTTCTTGTCTGGAATATTCTACTCTATGGCTATTCTTTGCTGTAGCTTGTCTGACTGTAGTTTTGAAATGTGCTTTACAGGTTTTTTAAAGAAAGAAATACTATTACACTGCATGAAAAAGGTTAATTATGTCAGGTAGAAAAAACCCACCTAGATCATCAAGTGATTGCTAGTATATCTGCTGTTAACATGTACGTTTCTGTCTTTGAGAGATGGGCGATGCAAGCCTCTCTGGGATCATCACTACCCCAGATTCCTGTCTCTAGATTTTTGTCTTTGAATCATCATATTTACTAAACACAGACCCATATTAAGATTATTTTCTGGAGAAAAATTTGGTGCTGTGTAGGGAAAGAAAGTTTGGATGCTGTGTTTGTCTGCGCCTTTTACACTTACATTTCTGTGGTTATATAACCTCTAAAGCTCCTTACTTTTGGACAATGGGCTTTGATGGCATTAAATATTTAAGGTAATTGTAAGTAATGTCACAAAGAACATTTTAAAAGGGTAGAGCAATACTTTGAAATTGTTTTTTAATTGTGAGGTAGAATAAAATAAACAACAAAGTTTTTTTTTTTTTTTTAAACAGCCATGTAGATGAAAAGAAAGATCTGCTTTAGGTCTGAGGTATTACATTCTAATATCCTCCTCTTCAGGAAGCAGAGGATACAGGGTTATTTCCTGCATGATGTACAAACATTTTTCTCTCTAACCTGTAGCTTTTTGAGGAGCTTTTGCCATCTGTTTATGACCTTTCAGAACATGCAAAGTGTACACCTCTATATAAATCAGTGGAGCACAAAAACACAACCTTGAATGAAAATTTAAGATTTTCACCAAGAGCAACATGGAACTAGCTAACCCAGGGGCTGCTTGTTTGAGTGTGTTTCACTATCACAGGCTGTGTTGTCCCTTAAAGACTTCAATTCAGTCCAAATGATGGATATCAAAGAACATCCACATTGATTTCTGCCGGCTCTGAAAAAGCACCTATTTCATCATCTTGTGCTGATATTGAACTGCCTGGCACGATGAAATAAATTATTTTGTTACAGTATCAGAGCTAAGTTTTGTTGTTTTATTTCTCTCTTTCCCTTTGTACTCTTGTCTTCTACATGCACTACTTTAGATAAATACACTCACAAAATTCAGCAAGGTTTAACCCTTTTTTCCCCACAGATTAACACAATGATACAGATTAACTGCCAAGTCCCCAAACAGCTGTGTGACAGAGACACGGAAAAAGACAGTCCAAGTAATAGGAATAGAGTTGGCATGAAAAAGCCCTTATTGCCAGAAAAAACAGGCAAATATACTCTCTACATGACTCACCATTGACCAGGCCAGCAAGCGCCAAGACATGCCCCAAGGAGTTTAAGTCAATCTCTGAAGATTTGCACAAAATGGGTAGAATTCTATTCATAGCCCGACCCATCCCGACAATGTCAGGACTGGTGTTTCTCCCTGGCTCTGCCTCAAAGAGACTGGCTGAGGTGGATGGGAATGTATATGTACTTTAGGCAGGGGCAGAAAATGTGTGATGAATTGGTTTCATTTTCATTACACCAGCAAAACAAACATGAAAGAGTAATTGTGACCATGGTCTCTCTAATGCTTAATGATTTATCAGCAAGCATTGATTTAACATCACAGGAGCTAATGTGAAGTGAATGTGCACCAATGCAGTTTGTTTCAAACTTTTTAAAGCCAATAGCTTGCTCCTATAAAGAAATATTTTTACACATTATCTGCAGGTGCATCATATAACTGTAGTTTGCAAAACGAGGATTCATTGTATTGCCTGCTGTAAAACAATTACAAGGGAATGAAGAAATCTGTTAGGGAATGTTAGGAAAAAGCACATCTTTCATCAATCGAAACTGTTTTGTTTGATGTTTGATGTTCTTTCGGATGTTTGTAACAATTTTTACATTTTGCAGGGAGCTTATGTTAAAGTCAAATGTATTTAGCCCCTGATTTTGATTTGGCAATTTTAATATAACATGTGTTATAAAAGCCTGTATGCTGTAGCTTTAGCTGTATGATTAGGATGCGTGTGCTGCTGGAAGCTGAAAGGCTGTGTGTGCAGCCACCGATGACCTGGTTCCTTATCACTGCTAAAGAGAAGCATACCCACACCATGATGCTATCACCTACAAGGTGGGGATGATATTTTCACTCCTGTGCATTTTTCCAACCGCAGGTTTCTCTGCGTAGACCAAAGAATTCAATTTTGTCTTATCTGACCGAATTACCCTCTTCAATATGTTTGCTGTATTCCTCATGTGGCTTGCAGCAAATCGTAAATGTGACTTCCTATGGAATTTATTCAGCAACAGCAGGTCCATTATTTTTGTGGTGTTTTCCCTGGTCTTCATAAAGCTGTTTATTGACTAATTCTCACTACCAAACCTCACACACAGATTGATTGTGAAGTAGCTTGTTTATGGAATTAAATTATACACAGTGGACTGTAATCCGTAGGTCATTTCTGAAGGTAGTTGTTAGCATGGAGGAGATTAAGAATAATGTATATATTGAGAAAATAAAACCTGACTATGGAAAACACACTTTCCAACTGCAGAATCAGAATCATTCACACCCCTTTCACGTGTCTTCCTCGGCCAAAATGTGAACATTCTGGTCCTCAAACAAGTGTCCTTTATCCTTAAGGTATAGCTGGAAATCACATTTTGGACAAAGAAGAGAGGTGGCTTAAAAGGGGTTTAAAGGAAGCCATTTGCATTAAGAGAGAAAAAGCAACCTCAGATTTCAGCTCTTGAAAACCTGTAGTGCAGCGTTAGATTTGATTCCTTCCCACTATCACCTCTATTCTCATTGCCATGCAGGTGATCAAAACATTGCGCCTGTTAAGCCAGGCCAATAACAACCCTAACAACTCCCCAGTAAAGAGGCATAGGCCAGTTTCGGGTTAATTTGCAGGCCAATAATGATCTCAACAACTCCCCATTACAAAGGGGTGGACCTGTTTTCGGTTCATTTGCATGTTTTCTAAGCCATAACATGGCTTTTGTTGGGCTACTCTATAAAGCCTGGAACTCAACGCAACTCCAGGGATTTTGAATTGAGAAAGCTTTCTGGATGGGAAGCGAAGATGTCTTCAAACTTGGAAAACAAAGTTCAGTGGTTTGTTTTTAACCCTTTTTTGCAAGGACTATGACCTGGATGACAGAGAATCTTCACCAGCATTAAATATAATCCAAATCAGGTAAAAGTATTGTAGTTTTAGTGAGGCAAAATTAACCATCAAAATGAGGTACAAACATAACTGTCACTGTAATGAGAAAATGGGGGAAAAAAAAAACTTCCACACTAAAAGTCAATTTTTTTCCAGGTCCCATTTTGTAATTCATGCCCGCTGGTGAGAGTCAAAGTTTGAGGAGGTTTTTAATAATTATATTGAGGTATTTTTGTCCTCTTGTGTGAAAAGCCCTTAAACCAGCCCCTGCCCAGTCCTAACTAGTTTAGCATTGGTTGTCAGATGTTCTTTCTCATGTACTTCCAAGGGATCTATCGATTTGTTCACTTTCAGTGGTTGCCATCCAGAGTCTGCTTACGCAGTCCGTCCGTCAGCATATCAAATTCTGCTTGAAGCAGAAGCAAGCCATTATTAAATTTCCTTAAAGTGAGCATTTGACTGTTCAAGGCAGAAAGAAACAATGTTGGGATAACAGCTGAATGTGGAGCCAAGATAAAATTATGAAAATAAATGTGGAGCTTCAACAAGCTTGTAAAATAATTTTTACTACACTTATAACTAAAGACATGACTTATTTTGTGTCCTCCTCATCAAATGGACTATAAGTGAGCACTTTGCCTTTCTTTCGCATTAAGAAACAGAAACCCAGCTTTGTCTTTATTTCTTCAAGATGAGATCTCTAATTACCTGCTATCTTTTCTCCTCCTAACCCCCACTTTCTGCCTTTCTCCCCTCCCCTCTCCCCCCATCTGTCTCTAGAAGTGTGACTGTCTGCTCAGCCTAGAAGCCTATTCAGCGGACCAGAAGCGCCGCGTGTGTCAGTGCCTGAAGGACAACATTGACAAGCAGCTCCAGCTTCACAGAAGGGAGCCCGCCGTTCCGCACTTTGAACAGGTAGGATGCACTGACACTGGCACAGACGTGTGCACATCCAGGAGCATTTCCAATTTCCAAAGATGAATCAGGAAATAGATGAACACATGGGAATGCATATATTTTCTCCTACCGCCCCTACTATCACAGATGCCTTGTGAACATCACATGCTTCCAAGCATATACGGTCTGAAACATTACACACTTGCAAGCAGTTTTTCCGGTTATAAACAGCACTGCACACATTTCTTTAGCACTTTTCTTTTATTTAGCTGAAATGATGAAAAATGTTCTGCTTCAATTGTGGTCAGCTGGTAAGATCACATTATTCTGAGATAGATTCAATGCTGTGTTTATAATAAAAGATCATATGAAATGTCAGGGTTTACTTTGTTGAATGTTTTTTTTCTTTCCAAGGCGATAATAGATCAGGAAAAGAACTACCCAGCTTGTTATATTGTGCAAAGTTCTACGTTAATGGCAACCAGTTACTGTATACTTTCAATTAATGCATTTGGCCAAAAATATACATGTGAAAGTAATCAAGCTACATTATGTTTTCTTTCAAATTAAGTCTATTTTTTTCTAAACTTCAGCTTTTCTCAGGGAGAAGTCAGCATTAGCCCAGCTTTGCTTAGAGCTGCATAAGAATTTTGACTTTAAATTAGTTTGGACTTCTGTTTTTACTTTGAACTGATTTAAAATATAATAAATTGTTCTAAATGTCAAAGAGTGCACGTTTGAATTTGCTCTGTGAGTTTAGACTTTTGAAGAGCTTAGACAGAATCCCACCTATCCGGTCAGTTATTGAAGCCTTACCTTAGGAATTATACTCAAAGTGATTTTTTTCTATATTTTTCTGTAGACAGTTTTTATTTTACGAGTTATGTAAATTTGTTTGAATGTAATCTGACAAGATTAAATGTTATTTAACAAACTTTATTCATATTTCTTGTTCATTTTAATTCTAAAACCCTTTTCTCTTTCTTCAAATCCCTTCCTCTTTTATATTTAATGAGCGAGGTAGATATCCCATTCTCTCCCCGCTCATTTGAGGCTAGCTGAAAGGTGAATAAAAGTAATGAATAACCCACCTGTTTTACATTAGGACTTCATTTCATCAGCGTATTAAAGAGAGGAAAAAAAAAAAAGAAGGACAAGCCGGCAATCTTTCATCCATTTTTCTTTGCTTGCTTTTGTGTTTATTCAGCTCTCCCTCAATATATATTTGCACATGCATCTGAGTTTCTGCACTTTAAATTATTTTATAAAGACATATTTTTTTTAGATATGTTTCCAATTGATGCAGATTCTTTCTCAGTGGATGTGTTTGAGTGTTTCGGAATATATTCATTATCAATGGATGTCATTGGATGCATATGTTGCAGTGTTTCGATGTGCATCCTCATATTTTCCATTAGTTACGTGAACCTAAAAAAAAAAACAAAACAGAACAAACCACAGGCAGCATTGTTCAACATTACACTTTAATCACTAACCACATAATGCTAAAACACATATCAAAAGTGTTTGATTTTTTTTTTTTACCGTACTGTTGTCAAACCTCCTTATGTTTTAAATTTGCTATAAAAACCGTCCATATTTAACTTTTTCCTGTTTTATTATTCAAATTGATCCAGTGGTTCTTTGGAGAATCACAGTTACAGAAGAAAGGATATTTTATTAGTTTGTTTTCTGTTTCTTTAGGTAGGAAGGCCAAATATTATAGTGTCGCTCTTAATATATTTCATAAGTAATATAGATTAGTTTTTTATTCACTTGACTAAACAATTAACCTTTCTTTAGGCCAACACACATTAGGAGTGCAGCGAAGCGTCACTTTGATTAATGTGCTTGCGTTTGCCCCTTTAACACAGGGACATGTCATGCTGAGGTGCTTAGAGAAAGAACAGATTACTGGACTTGAGCTGTAGACAATTTTATTAGGTGTGTTGACGCTTCTGATGGAACATATTAGAAAAGTATTGCAGGACCCAATGCCCTGGAGTGTCAGACTCCTACCAGACAACATAAATGTGTTGCCTTTAACAGATACAAATGAGTCTAAATGAGATGAAACAATATTTAGGATCTACTGTCTTTTAGTGTTGATGAGTCCAACAGAAAATTAAAGTGGAGATAGAAGCAGAAAGCTGGGAGGAGGTGCCATATTTGTGTTTACAGGTTGGTCACTAGAGCAAGGATTGTGTTGAGTGTTTCAGACTGTAGGCTAATGTGATATATTATATAATTTTACAATAGCTGCAGCCCAGCAAGTTAGACCAGAGGCCTCAAAACTCATTTTTATGTTGGGCCACTTTGGCATCATCGGTTATTTTAAAGGCTTGGTTTCTGCTGTATCAATGACAGTTTTTATATTTATTTACCATAACTGACTTGGACAAATTTGACACTTTAAAAGAAAATATGGCTCTACTTTAAGATATGCCTGTTTGGCTCTTGAGGCCCAGATAAATTGTTGTGATAAAGTGCCTGATGTTGGTCATTGATCAAGTGGAAGATACTTTCTAGATTCTCTTGTGCAACATTTCTTCTGACTACACTCAAATAAACATGACTGCATTTAAAAGTGGTACAGTATATCACGCATCTAATAGTCCACGGTGCTTTGCATAGACACACCCTTACTTCCTGTTATGCGAATGAAAACACTGATGGAGTTTGCATCTCCAAAGCAGAGCTAAAACTAATGGAAGAGTCACAAAGCCTTTTGTATTTCTATAGAAATTCTGATGATTTTAATTAACTCTAAAATACAGATGCAATTTATCCTGCAGTGCTGCAGTAAAAATGGAAGAATACATAACAGCATAATTATTGCTTTCACACTCAACTTTGTTTTTTCTGTATGCTTGGATTCATGATATTGGCTAACAGGGGAGTCATAATCATCTGTGAGAAGCGAAAGTGTACAGTGAGAAAAATGAGAGTTAGATTCTTCAAATGTGGTGAGATTTCTTAATGTGGTTTTGTTATAAACAACTGTAGGGACATACAGAGTAAAAGAAAACCATTTATCTTGGTCACACTTCCTTCACATGGTTTAAAAGATATATATACATTTCTAAGCATAATTAACTTTAAAATAAACCAATAAATAGAATACAAATCCTATTCAATTAAGTCTTCAAATGAAAGTCTAGTTTTTAGCTCGCCTGGATTCATATAGCCACATTATGAAAACATACCAGACCAATGTTGTTATGTTAAGTTAAGAGCCTTCTAGGGGGTTCATTTTTTTATTTTTTTACTTTTTTTTATGGTCTCTTTACCCTTTTTGGACCTTTTTCTTGTAATCTCTCATCGCTGTGAATGAAAATCTAAAAGCCTCCTGTAGGCAATGAAATGCATGTTTTAATCATAGCACTTTACTTTTAAAAATGAGTTCACTTTTGATTGCTTTTCTCCAGAGTACCTTAGAGGCAAATAGTTTGTGTTTAGTCACCTTCAACTATGTTTAATTATATGCAAATCAGTTTGTCAAGTAAAGAATATGAGAAAGAAAAAGCTCCTTGTGTGCCCTCCATGTTCCTTTGGGGTGGTTTCATTTTTGCAAAGGAAATGAGGACACGGTCCCATAGATAGATGTGGGCATACATATGGGTCACATCCTTCAGCAGAGACAATCTAGGTAAAAAGGCCAAAAAAACTAACATGCATCAAAATAGAAACATGAAATAATGTGTGTTCCTTTGTGGTACCAGATGATTGCAAAGCCATAAACTAAAAGGCTTACTATCCCTGCAGTAGACTAAGTGATTATTCCTTTATCACATCAAGTTATTAAGTTACATATTCAGTGTTACCGTTGTGTCAAAACTAAAACCTATTTTTTAACCTGAATCAGCTATATATTTCATGCAAAAGGCATTTTCCTGCCGGTGTTCTAGAAGTGCTGCAAAACAGCTTTATAAAATTACACTCTGTCACATAACCCTTGTGTCACAAACCTTTTTTTCTTCCCTTCACACACAAAGCTGTGCAAATTCACACTTAGCTGAAGTATGCACCTCTCTTAAGAGTCGTTTTCTACTGTGCGGGGAAAGTAGAAGACTTTCTTAAGGAAACATACATCATAGAATCCAAATCCACTCTGACTCGTTCCTGTTTATTTCAGCAAATAGGCTTATTTCTTCATAGTGCTGATGTCAGCTGCTGCCCTACTTTTTCAAGTCCCCAAACAGTTTCAAAGGGTCTTTACAGAAAAAAATGGATTTCTGCACTTTTTTATAGTGGAGTGGTCCGAAATCTTCTTGTCGTGTTTAGAGTTGGAACGGAAGGGTATTTTAGTGTGTTGCTTTTCTTAGACCTACATATAGCAAAAACATTGTTTTATTGACTTAACTGCAAATTTAATATCTCAGATACTCTGTTTCTCTTATATTTATAGCCTGACTTAAAGAAAAAAAAAAGTCAATATGAAGCAAAATGTGAGCCAAGATTTAGTGGAAGTCAGATGGGTGTTGTTTAGGTATGAAATTGTATTATGATGATATATTGATAAATTATCCAGAAATTAGAGGATTTTTAAATTAACTTTGTAATTCATTAATGAGAAGAATAGGCATGTTTTATCATCCAACCTGTTTTATCGAAATTATCTTTTTTTATCCATCCATCTTCTCCCATTTATTCCATCAGTGTCATGGTGGGGTCGGTCTCTATCTCCAGTCTATGGACATTAGGCGGGGTGCACCCTGGCCAGGTCACCAGTCTGTCACAGTGCAACACAGAGCAGTCAACCATGCACACACACACCCACATCTAACGACATCTTATGTTTTTATTTATATCTATATTTATACCATCAATGGCCAAACAGTAAGTATTTTCCACCTAAAAGGAACAATTCTGATCATTACCCTGTTTCCAAATATGAAAACTAAATCAATACTTGGTCTAATATCTTGTAGATTATTAAACTAAATGCAAGAGGGGTCTTTGTGTGGAGAAAGTTCCTAAATTTGGAAATTTAGAATAATCTGTATTTCTAAGGTGAA